AAAAAAAGGCATTTTCTGATAAAACGGCAAATTATTAAAAAACTTCCTAAATCTGTAAACTAAAGGGGAAAAAAGCGAAGTATGTTCTATTCCTTTTTGACTTTCTTTTAGTGAATTCAGCTTATCTTTTATTTGTTTGCTGCTGCTTTGGTAGCAAGAAGAAGTCAATTGTACGTTTAATTAGTTGCGAATAGGAGATAAAAGCTTATACCGAATAAAATTCAACAATGCTTTCATTATTTTACAACTAATGTCATGATATTAGCAAATTTTCTTGCATGAGACCTTTCATTGTTAATGCTAACATTGTATCAGCTGGTTTTACATCGATACGGCGAATATTTTTTATTCGTCAAGCGCTTATAGCGCAGTGGTGAATCGGTATTCAATTCATTTTTTTTAGGCTAACGTATTAAATTTAAAGAGCAACTGCGGAGTAAGTCTGTAACTGGTACCATCATTCAGCTAGAGAAAATCAGCTGAATCGGTTCCTTTTACCCGCTATAGTTAATGCTGTTATCATGCAGTTAAATTATTACCTAAGTTAACTTAGTTTTAAAATTGCTACAACTTTTTCTTTACCTTCTCTTTCAATTTCCAATACTAAAATAAATTAAATCAATTCCAATAATAAATCAATCATAAATAAATAAGACCATAAAAATTAAAAAATTTGAATGCATATATTAAGGCAGTATTTCTAATATTTCTAGGACAATATTTCTTTTATTTGTATATTTATCTATAAAGACAATAATAGTAGCAATTCGATAAAAATTTACTGGCGAGAGGGCTAGGATCTACGATAACCTTCACATCCAAAAAATTATAAAAAGAGGATTATTTTTATTTGTCCAAGATATTCGGCAGTTCCTTTAATATTTTTGTACACGCTCTGTTTTTCACAGCTGTTTCTTCTGGCGATTGTGCTTCGATATTTTTATTATATACGTCATAAACATAGTCATCATAGCAAATTACTTTTTGTTTTCTTTTTCGAGTTTTTTGCTAATTTCCACGTACAAGATTTAATTTTAATCATATAGAAGAGAGAAAACAAGAATTTAAACTGTAGCGACTGTTAATTAAGAAAAAGAGTGCAAATTCCAAGGAACTTAAACTTTTGGTTCAGTTGAAACAATTATCATACAATTATGCTTAGAAATGTGTTAGTAATATTTATTTGGAATAAAAAAAACTGACGACTTAGAATTTCTTTTTCAATTTATAGACGTTCCTACGAAAATGCTGACGATATGTTCAGTTCGACATATTTGCCCCATCCATTTACCAGATCATCGGAAGTGGAAGATGTATTGCAAATGGAAATTTTAACACGTTTATCTCGCAATACAGTTCAACGTTTTGATAACAGCATCGAAGCTAAAGTTGAACCTGGAGACACTTTGCAAGCTATTGCGTTACGTTTTCATTGCTCAATAGCTGACATCAAACGTCTTAATAAGATCGATAAAGAGAATGAGATACATGCTCATAAAGTTGTAAAAATTCCAGTGACGGTACACAATGTATTGCTAGATAATTTTCCTATTGTTCACACAAGTGGAAACAGCAGCCCCGAAATTGTAAAAAACACTGCTGGCAGTTATAATAATGATGGAAGTCCGGGCAGTAGTAGTGGTTTAAGTAGCCTAATACGTAATCCTTTACAAGAAAATGAAGCAATTTTAAGTGAAAAGTTAATGGTAGCTTCTGTAAACGCCTCTACAGCTGTCAGTCCTTCAGCGATGTGAGTGTATTTTTATATTCGCTTCTGCCATATTTTTGTATTCTTTTTTTTTTTTCTTCGCCGCCACTAAAAGCAATGGTAGAGAAAGTGTAAATATAAACGATATAATACTAAAATCAACATTAAAGGCGAATATCAGCGCAATTTGCAGAGGTAAAGGTACGTTAAACAAGCCTATTAAAAATAATTAAAGAGTTATGAAGCAAAGTTGTTAAAAGATTAAGTGCCCGTAATTAGTGTACGGAAGTATCTAAATTTGCAACAGTGACTTACTTAGATAGACAAGTTAACTCATTTTTTAAACACATTTTTGTCGTCCTATGTACATATGGAGCCTTTTGAAAAAAATTTTCTTTTTTTTTTAATATTTAAACTTTTGATCTAAAATGCTCAGGATTTTTTTTTCAATTTCATACAAATTCACACATATGGTTCTTTCACTTCGCCATTTGCCGCTATTTTGTTGTAATTATATGCTTTATATTCATATAAAGCACTCTATTGAACCGTTTTTTATGCAACTCTGTGATAAATGCATCTGCGTGTGCGAACGTTTGACAGCTTTTGTAATCTGTAAAGTCATTGCAAATACCGAGAAAAAAGAAGAAAAATTTTGATTTTATTAAAATTTTCTAAATTGTTATCTAAAAATGCCGGACTATTTGGGCGATGATCAACGAAAAATTAAGCATGAAGAGAAAGAGGATAAAGAAATAAAATCTCTGGATGAGGGAGATATTGAACTATTGAAGACTTACGGCCAAAGTCAATATCATAAAGCCATTAAAATTATTGAGGAAGATATACAAAAAGCTGTTAAGCAAGTCAATGAATTAACTGGTATTAAGGAAAGCGATACTGGTTTAGCACCACCCGCTCTATGGGATTTGGCAGCTGACAAACAAATCCTGCAGAACGAACAACCTCTCCAAGTAGCGCGTTGCACTAAGATAATAAACGCCGATTCAGATGATCCGAAATATATTATTAATGTTAAGCAATTTGCAAAATTTGTGGTTGATTTGGCTGACTCAGTCGCGCCCACTGATATAGAAGAGGGCATGCGTGTAGGGGTAGATCGTAATAAATATCAGATTCATATTCCCCTACCACCCAAAATTGATCCCACCGTAACTATGATGCAAGTGGAAGATAAGCCAGATGTAACTTACAGTGATGTGGGTGGTTGTAAAGAGCAAATAGAAAAGCTAAGAGAAGTGGTGGAGACTCCATTACTGCATCCGGAAAAATTTGTCAACTTGGGTATAGAACCGCCTAAAGGTGTTTTATTATTCGGTCCACCGGGTACAGGAAAAACATTATGCGCTAGGGCTGTAGCGAATCGTACTGATGCCTGCTTTATACGTGTAATTGGCTCCGAGCTGGTGCAGAAGTATGTGGGCGAAGGAGCTCGTATGGTAAGAGAGTTGTTTGAAATGGCTCGTTCCAAAAAGGCTTGTCTTATATTTTTCGATGAAATTGATGCTATCGGAGGAGCACGTTTCGATGACGGTGCTGGCGGCGATAATGAAGTGCAACGTACAATGTTGGAATTGATAAATCAGTTGGACGGTTTTGATCCACGAGGTAATATTAAAGTGTTAATGGCTACCAATCGTCCAGATACTCTGGATCCAGCGTTGATGCGCCCGGGGCGTTTAGATCGCAAGGTGGAGTTTGGTTTGCCGGATTTGGAAGGACGTACGCACATCTTTAAGATACACGCTCGCTCAATGTCCGTAGAACGTGACATACGTTTTGAATTATTAGCACGACTATGTCCCAATTCTACTGGAGCTGAAATACGATCCGTATGTACGGAAGCTGGCATGTTTGCTATACGCGCTCGACGCAAAGTAGCTACCGAGAAAGATTTCTTGGAAGCAGTTAACAAAGTTATTAAGAGTTATGCCAAGTTCAGTGCTACGCCACGTTACATGACTTACAATTAATTTGCTTAAAGTTTGTATTTAAGACTTGTTGTGAGGCAATCGCTTTTCGAAAAATTTATATTCAGAATAAATTCCCAAATCTATGAGTCAAAAAATATATATACACATAAATAACTTTTATTAGACTAAGTGAGTAAAATATATTTTCAAATTACATTTTGTTTCATAGATCCTGATATAACTGCCAATAGTCATATAGACGCCTCAGCACCTCTTATAACTGATACATTAGATGATAGCACAGACGTACTGAATGTGCATCGTATACGCGGGCCATCATTGCGTACTATTAATTGGTCCGGTTCGGATTGTGATATGTCTTGGGTTTGCCTTTTTATATTCATTTTGATCTTATGTTTTGTTATACCGCTCGTTTATGTAGTGTACATAGCTGAACATGTACATCATAACGTCACTGCAGTCAGTGGATCATTAACATTGCAAGCAGGAATGATAAATCATTGATATCTCATGCATACGTGCAGTCATTGTCGAACGAGAAAATTCAAACGCGAACTATTTTTTATTTGTATATATATATTTAGTATATACCGTCTTAAATTTGCAAATATAATAGATGAAGAATTTTTAGTTGGTTTTAACGATGATTAGGAATCGAGATGGTAAAGAATAATACATATGTTTACATATACACTATTATTAAATAAACTTTTTCCAATGGCAATATAAAATATTTTGTATATAACTAGATTAAACACCTCCATCTGAAAGTCAGACATTGTTTTACATTTCACAAAGAGAGCTACCGCTGAAGGTCTATTAACTATATACCCTTACATATTGTTAAAGTAAGAAAAATTTGGATTCGTTTGGATTTGCTTTCAATTTTGTTAGTATGAGAAATGTGAGTTTGATTTTGTTAAAATTTGGAACGATTTGGTTTGGTACGGGTTTTGGAAATTTGGGTACGATTTGGTTAAAACTCAAATTTTTCATATTAACAAAATCGAACGTAAATTTTAACAAAATCAGGCAACTATAGTAGCTAATTAATTTTACGAGTAAATTTCACCTAAGCAGTAAAATAGTTTTGAGTATTAAGAAACTTTAAAGTATCTCTAATAAATTATTCACTCCATGATTGATTTAATATTAAAACAACTTTATAGAAATTATATATTGAGCATATATGCGGCAATTTCGTTGCCAAGGTCTACATTTCGTAGAAGTAGTTCACGAACTTGTGTCTGTCGAAATGTTATCTGAAAAGTAGATTTGGTTTCTGTCGGGCGAGCAATATTCGATCAAATCATCGTTTTAATTGATTTTGAGCCCCTGTTGGGGAAACACAGAAATGGTGTTGTAGCGACTATAGTGTTGCTGCTGATAGATTTATGCGACCTAACTTCGCGTCGGCTGGGATGTTCTATGTCAAATGGGTTCAATGTTCAGCGGCCGTGGAACTGCGTGGTGAAACCCATGTCTTAGGCTGATTTGCTATAATCAAGCTATAATGAGCTTTAAGTGGTGCCACTTTGTTTCGATTTTTAATTTTTTTACAGCATAGATTGCTTAAAACCAGTACATTAAAATATTATTTTAAAACATTATCCTCCTTAGATAAATTTCTAAAACCAACTATGCTAGCTTATAGATTTGCGTAAGCATCTACGTAGCGCATAAGTTTATTTCCATGAAGTCTTAGAATTAAAAGAATAAACAAGAAATTTTTACAAGTTTTGCTCAAATGTATAGAGCAATGCTTAAAAAAACAGACGAAAATTCTCCATGGGATTGGAATCCCGCCTTCGAGATGGTGGTTTTCACCACTTATGATGAAATGGCCCAAATAAATTGCTAAAATAAATACTGCTTTACATATCTAAATTGTGAACATCTTATTTTTTTTAAAATAATTTTGAAAGAGTGAATAAGATCTTCAAATAAATACGAAGGGGTAAGTGTGATAGGAAAGAAACAATATTTGATTCTGCCAATTCGGGCAAATTCGGACGATAACCAAAACTATTCATATTTTCTTCTTGTAAAATTTAATTAATCAGCGGCGGATTATTCACTTTATTGCGTATGTTAATGTCATGTTAACGTTTTATTATTAATATTGTTGATATGCTTTTGCTCGAAGAGATTTTCCTAATAAATCTTTTTATTAAAGAATTTAAGAATTGAGGAAACAATATAAAGCCCTTAAAGTGCCGATTTAAAGTATTGAAGCAACTACAGTTAACACACCGTACAATTCGCACTGAATTCATAAACAAAAAATATAAAGTGGAACTAGGTATATAAAAATAATAATAATTCAAACTTCAACATAAGAGAATAAAAATCAAATAAGCACAAGGGCAGTAAATGAAGTGCATATCTCTTACTTTAAACAATGATTCCATATATCCAAAAAAAAAAAAAAGAAACTAAATTTATATAGTCTGAAATAAGCAATTTGCAATTCTTTAATCGTTTCCTCGACCGGCAGTCAATGAAAAATCAATTAATTGAAATGAACTGAATTTGGGATTTCGATAACAATATTATCAACTAGATGACAGTGATAAGATACCCAACTAATCTAATTCGGTAGGCGTTTAGTGAGAAAGGTCGAGTGGTAAATAGTTCCAGCAACGCGCAACATGGACCAAAAAATCTCTCAAAACACGTATACCTAATCAAAGGTATAGTGGAGTTTTAGTAGAGTTCATAAAGAATATTAAGAGCGCCACATTTAGCAACGGAATAAAAATAAACAAGACTATGCCATAATGAGAATGTTTCAAATGTACATCCCAACAACTGCTTAACATACTCAGACACATGCTCCCTACGACGTAAGCCATACACAGAGTTCGACTAAGCCTCAAAAAGTTAGAACAAGCAGTCACTACCAGCCTATAAAAAAGGTGGCCCATCAAAAGGGCATGGACAAGACGGAATTTAATACACTGCGATACATGGTACTTTGGAATAAGTACATTGTAATGTACCGACAACTTTCCCATGAATGAATTTAATCTTAAAGGTAAGGTTATTATCAATACATATATCTAAGCATTGATGTAGGTCAACAATTTCAATACCGGATACACCAATAAGGATACTTAAGTGAGAGCTGAACCGATTCAAATTCGCGAAAAGCATCGCCTTAGATTTAGTCGGGTTAATCGCTGTTAATTGAGAATTTAAAGATTATTCAGTTAGAACATTTACAACATTTGTATTATGAACTATTTTCTATTGACTGGTTGAAACAAACCCAATTGCTCCAAATTAACCAAAAATTCCAAAATGCAATTAAACACTTCAAAAATTTATATTTGTATAGACATCATTTATATAAACATTTTCCCAAATCTTGGGATGTAAATTTAATCGGCACACAGGGCAAGTATAATCAAAACTTGTTATTTCTCCAATTGTGTAGAGATAATCATTATGTATATCAATCCCTGGAGCGTTACTCCTAATCTCATCACATGGGCATTTTCATCAATACTGTATACATTCAATGTTAGTGTATCCTTATGTGTCAGTTCTAGGGCAAATCGCTGTCACTTACGTAATTAACTCATAGAAGTAGCACAAATGGCTGATGAATCTAATTCGGCGTCGCTATACCGTGTAAACACTGTCTGCTCATAGCATTGACATTTGGTAAGCATTTCCGCTCTGCGTTTACAATTTCCGCATGCAAATAACACATTAATAGCAGGCCCACCACCAAATTTGCTTTGAAGCAATTTGAAGCAATTGTTGGGACAGGGGTACTGCTAACTTTGACATGATGTCTATCTTGGATGGTAACATACCTGCACCGGGACACAAAATAGTCCAGTTATTAATCGCTCCTGGTTCGGAGAGTGGGTTAAAACGTGAAACCATTCAGGTGATATATAAAAACGTAAAATTGCTTGAGAGTCGGGCAAAGAGGCGGCCAAAACAGAACAGAACAGAACACAAGTGCTCCGACTGAATCTCAACACTCTTAATATTAAAAAAAGTGGTTGAATCAAATTCACCTAAACAAGCAGCGATCCCACTTCAGTCATCATGTTTGAAGTCCCTGTATTCAATCACGGAAAAGGCATATCTACACTTGAAGCGTGCATAGATCAATGCACGATAAAACATGAGCGGGTATTTCGCTTGATTAGAATAGTTAAGCAATGTATCATCACTAAGCAGCCAATAGTCAACCAGAGACGTAGATTGGTGCGCTAAGTCCCAGTAAGTAGGTTTTATCTTGTGCGATATAAGAAGCTTACACCTAGAAAAAGCAGATCTAATATCATTAGCTTTAGTTATATCAAAGAGGTTGCAATTAAAATCACCAACCATAATAATACTCGAGTACTGCGTTAAAAGCTCTAAATGGAAATTTTCATGTTACGATTTGGTAAATGGACTACTCCAAAAGGAACGCTTACTGCAACATCTATTTCCATGAATAGCGACTCAAGCTCACCGTATTGAAGCCCCTAAAAAATGATCTTGAAACTAATGTCATGGGCTATATAGATGACTACATGTTCTCGACACTAATCGACAAGAGACGTGGGGTTTTAACCACGTTTCAGAGATGGCAATTAGATCAAATTTGTCCATAACCAGAGCCTTGAATTTATCAAATTTCACGGAGCGAAAAGAAGGTTTAATACTCTGACAATTTTGAAAATTTATATGCGTCATACTAATCTGTTCAGTAAGAGATTTCACCGATTCAACAACATATGAGCTACCAACGCAACGGGACCCTAATTAGGGTTAGTCAACTTATCCACAGTAAAAATACTTTATACAACACTACTTTAAAATCCCGCAATACACCAACCACTCTAAATAATGCCATCCTGGTTACCAGTTCTGCAAATTACATCCAGCACATTATTCAGCGTTTGTAATGGATGTTATGCCCTGGCTGTATTTCCTTACATCCTTGAAGATCCAATTTCGTAGTATTGGCATGAGATAGCAGCAGAATAGCATAAGGCTTAATAGCATTAACAAACCTGAAACGCACAACGATCGTTGGGATAGATGCGCCGCTGTATTGTATAAATTTAGGGCCTACACAGTTTACCGCATAGAGTGAGTGTATTTTAATGTTCTTAAAGTACTTGCCCATCAAGTGTGAGTAGTGCTCTGCTATCTTAATCAGAGGTGTGTTCCAGGTATGTCATTTAGACCCTCAGGCAACCCACTGATAGTTAAATTTGACCTCTTTACCATTCTACACAATGCATTAATTTAAGCATTCATGGCTAGCAATCTCAACTCTAAATCCTCCTAAATTTGATCAACTCTTTGTTCACATGATTCCGTTTTAACCTTAATCATATCAGTAGCTTAAGCTCCCATTTAAGAGCAATTGCGGCCTCTGTCAATGGTTTCTTCATTGAAAGTTGACGTCTTACAGAGAATTCATCAAAGATTTATTTGAAATAAATGGAATCAATGGAAGTTGGAGCATTTTGTCCCTTCTGACTAGAGTTATGCTTTTTATGATTCGACATTAGCAACTCAGCATGCGTGTTGCCATATTAAATACATCTCACAACCAACACCTCCATCAATTAGATTATTGCATGAATAACATTTGCTGCTTTTCTTGCTAGGTGCTATACTCACAAGCAAACAGTTTCAGTCGACAATAAAGAAATAGCTCACAGCGCACACACTTCAGACTCGTACTTCTAACTCGCAAATTTGGGATTGAATAAATCACTGCAGATCCGTCACCAATCACTTCACACGAAGAAAGAAATAAAGACAAGCTCAGGAGAACTTCAATCAAGTTCAATAAAACGCCATAAAATAAGGACTTTTAAATAACAAGATAACACACAATTATTTTTAAAAAGAAACACAGTACCTTTATATGATTATGCGAGGAAAGACATAATAGTACATAGCAATTAAATATACGTAGACTGCTTAGCTTGTAACGTGTCTTCTTGGGCAGGGTGTACTCAGCCAATCCAGGACTCTTTCCAAGAATATTTATAAAGATTACTTGGACCTTCGGTTTCGGTCTGACGTTTTTATTTATTTAAATACAAGAAGAACGTTTTAATACTTCTTATTCTTTCCCGCTTATTACTATACTTTCTCTTTCACGTTTCCGTACCGCGAGTTTCCTTGGCTGCTATGACATGACTGAAAGGCTGAGCGTGCTGCTACGTGCTCTTTTATAGTCGCGATCACCATCGCTTTCCCGTTACATAGCTGCTTTGACTTGTTATTCTTATGTATCTATTCTTCTGTATGTTAACTTAAGTCTGATCGAACATGTTCGTTCAGCTCTGACTTGTACAAAAATGCTTCTCTTACGTATATCTTAGCGTTAATACTACCTTACATACAAACTCGTATGATCTCAGCGTATACTAACTTAGGTCTGATCGGACAATGTTTACCTGTATTTATTACCACTATCTTAAGTACTGATTCATGTGAACAAAGCGTATGCGAACTTAGGTTTGATCGGACAATGTTTTTATAAGCCGCAGAACCGTTAAGTATGCCTACATACGCTATGCGTAACTTCAAAACCCTTCTTCCTATTGCCTATTGCTTGTATGCGTATTTTTATAAGCTCTTTTTCCTATCGCGATGTTTGTTTGTATGCCTATCCTTCTATTTGCTCTATTGTAACTGCTACTCGGTATGATTCTGTAAAACGCTAACTCAGGATTTGGTGACCGTTAGGTATGTGAATTCATTACTTCTATATTAACCTTCTCAAACCTAGGGACCCGAAAACGCCTTGCCGATAAGCATAGGAAACGCTACTGCATATCTACTTAGTATTAATTGATTTATGTGGTAATTAGTAAGGGAGCAGAACGCTTCCTTACAAGCTATTTACTTACTCATTAAATCAACCGAAAATACGTCTTAACCGCAAGACAAACGAAGAGAGAATGAATGTTTTGTGTTGTCTATCTTAACTACAT